GTGGGAAAATACCCGAACAAAGCTGAATACCATACATATAAATACCCGCGAAAACTTAAGAAAACATATATCTACATATATATATTTGCCCATACATTTATGATTGGATTGAAATGTAACCTTTCCCCTCAAAAATTAGTTGCCTGACGTTACAAAAAAAAAAAAAAAAAAGCAGAAATGAAGGATAACTACTAATTCCTGGCTTGTAAAGTCTTTTCTCTACTCCTAGGTCCAAGATAACTTGAAAGGCAAGTCTATGATGTTGTTGCTTTGAAAACTCTCTAATTGTTAGGAATTACAAGATCGTACAGTGATTTTACATAGCTATAGCAATACCAATTACAATAAATTAAAAGTAACAATCCAACCGTTTTGAATTTCATTAGGATGCTATTGCAGAAGGAGCGTGGGCATAACAGGTGGTGAATTTGTAATACAAATGTGCCAGACGTTGCAGTAATGGGAAAATGTGAGGTTGTGTCATGTTTCAGGAGCCCTTATTTCATATGTTATTCCAGAAATTCATAGTGATTAAGTGGCAGATGACGGCTATTCAGGAAGGAGTTGCTGGCTTGCAGGCACTACAAATTTATAAGCTATCATTCAGCCCACTAACACATTCATTCATTCATTCATTCATTCATTCATTCATTCATTCATTCATTCATATGACTTGTCTAAAGGCAGCTCTCAATAATCCATAAAGATGAAAATAAAGCTACCCCTCTCCCCATGAATCAGACCAAAACACGTTCAAAGGTAGTACTGCTAAATAGAGCTCCTTTTAAATTAGAATTTTAAAGCATTTTCAGCAATCACAACAGAGGCTGGTTCCATTCTTTAAGGCAGTGGTCCCCAACCTTTTTTGTGCCAGGGACCAGTTTCACTCAGAAACACTTTTTCAAGGACCGTGTGTGTGTGTGTGTGTGTGTCCGAGTTTGGTGGTTTGCTTGCAGACGTTTCATTATCTGACTAGGTGACATCTGATGTTGTTACCTAGTCGGGTAATAAAACGTCTGCCAGCAAACCACCAAGTTCAGGGAACGCCAATGCCTCCTCATTGCAACCCTGAGCGACAGATAGTCCCTGCAGGATGGCTGAGAAGCCTCGCCTCTCGGCCCTGCCTTCCTCAGCCCCATCCCTCAGGTGTCTCCCTCCCTCCCTCAGCCTCATCCCTCAGGTGTCTGCCTCGTTCCTCTCTCAGTCGCTCTCTCACTCCTCCACCAGCCCAGGAAGAAACTGCTTCAAAGAAGCCGGCAGGGTGGCTTTTCCTGTCGGCGCAGCTTCCCCAAAGCGCCCGTTCACCCCCACCCCGCCGCCCACGGTTCAATCCTCCGTTCTGCCTGCCTGCCTTCGTTTCTGGTGGTTTCGGAGCGCAGCTTCTCCGAAGCGCCCGTTCACCCCCGCCCCGCCCCGCCCCGCCGCCCACGGTTCAATCCAGTGCTCCGTTCTGTCTGCCTGCCTTCGTTTCTGGTGGTTTCGTATCCTCTGAAGCGCCTGTTCACCCCCGCCCCGCCGCCCGCGGTTCAATCCAGTGCTCCGTTCTGCCTGCCTGCCTTCGTTTCTGGTGGTTTCGGATCCTCCGAAGCGCCCGTTCACCCCCGCCCCGCCCCGCCGCCCGCGGTCCAATCCAGTGCTCCGTTCTGCCTGCCTGCCTGCCTGCCTTGGTTTCTGGTAGTTTCGGAGCAGCTTTGGCTGAGAAAAAGAGGCGAATAGTTATTATTCTCAGCTGAAGCTGCTCCGAAACTACCAGAAACGAAGGCAGGCAGGCAGGCAGAACGGAGCACTGGATTGAACCTGGATTGATTGGCGGCAGGGTGGGGGTGGACGGGCGCTTCGGAGGAGCTGCGCCGACAGGAAAAGCCAAACCCCCCCCGGCTTCTTTGAAGCAGTTTCTTCCTGGGCTGGTGGAGGAGCGAGAGAGCGACTGAGAGAGGAATGAGGCGGGAGGAAGCCGAAGCCACTGAGCCAGAGAGCAGGACAGGCTTCGGTTGCTTCCTCCCTCCCCTTCTCTCATTTGTGTCCTTGATCCCCGATCCCAGCAGCATTCACCGAAGGCGAAGAAAGCCGCCATTTTTTTTATTTTTTTTCCTTTGCGGCCCGGTACAGAGTGCTCCACGGCCCGGTACCGGTCCGCGGCCCAGTGGTTGGGGACCCCTGCTTTAAGGGAAACAATGAAGCCTTTAGAAAGCTTAAAGTGATAAATATCATGAGATTTTTTTTAAGATTAAGGGAAAGGAGCTTCAGGGCTCATTCATTCATTCATTGATGTATGCCATAGTGTACAAACTAAGCCTCAAGGACCAGAATAGCCAATGCCATTCTCAACCAGCCCTCAAACCCACTACAAACCAGCCCTCAAACCCACCTTGCACCAGATTAAAAGCAGTACAGGTAGTCTTCAACTTACAACAGTTCATTCAGTGACCATTTGAAGTTACAATGGCACTGAAAAAAAAAGACTTACAACCATTTTTCACACTTATGACCATTGCCACGTCAGCATGATCACGTGATCAAAATTCAGACACTTGGCAACTAACTCATATTTATGATGGTTGCTGTGTCCCAGGTGTCATGTGATCTGCTTTTGCGACCTTCTGACAAGCAAAGTCAATGGGGAAGCCAGATTAACCATCTTGTTACTAACTTAACATTTGCAGCAATTCACTTAACAACTGTGGCAAGGAACGGGGGGACAAATCTCGCATAGCAAACATCTCATTTAACAACAGAAATTTTGGGCTCAATTGTGGCCATAAGTTGAGGGCCACCTGTATTTTATGACTGTCAGCATAAGTAGTGCTTGCTGTGCTTCATTTGCCTTTTCAGCTGCAATAGCAATAGCACTTAGACTTATATACTACTTTACAGCCCTCTCTAAGTGGTTTACAGAGTCCGCATATTGCCCCTAACAATCTGGGTCCTTATTTTACTGACCTTGGAAGGATGGGAGGCTTAGTCAACCTTGAACCTGGTGAGATTTGAACTGCCAAATTGCAGGCAGCTGACAGGCAGCAGAAGTAGGCCTGTAGTACTGCATTCTAACCACTGCACCACCGTGGCTCATAGCCTGTCCCCTGAGATTCAGAGAGGTTTTACCCTGGTAGCTTTTGGGAAGGAAGTCCTAGCTTTTCTCTCGGGTTCTGGGGTCAGGATGTGCATTATGTATATATCAAATTTTTACGATTTGTTATGGGAAAATTTTGGCTGCCGCCCTGATTGCATTGCATTCTATTGTATTTTTTTCATTTCCCCTGTTTTTAATATTTTATGCATGCTCAGCATCACTAGATTGATGTGGGTGGCTTTATAAAGCCATCTGCAGCTGAGTCACTACTAGTCTCACCTTCTTTCACACAGTTGAACTTATACTATGGCAGCCCTATCAAAGAGCTGTTTCTCTGTTGAATAGAGATTCTAATAATCATTGCTGTGACAAGACCGGCTCCAAAAGAAGAGAAGTGGGTGGGAATAGCTTAGCGGTGTAATATTTTAACCAACTTATTAAGAGTCATGTTGTAGGTACTTGAAAATTAAATGCAGAAAAAAATTGATAATACGTAGCCCTTGGTGCTCTCTGAGCTTGGTTGTCTGCTTGCAGATGTTTGATTAGTAATAGCAATAGCACTTAGATTTATATACTGCTTCATAGTGCTTTACAGGCCTTTCTGAGTGGTTTACAGAGTCAGCCTATTTCCCCCAGCAATCTGGGTTCTCATTTTACCAACCTTGGAAGGATGGAAGGCTGAGACAACCTTAAGTCCCACCAGGATTGAACTCCAGGCTGTGGGCAGAATTAGCCTGCAATACTGCATCCTAACCACTGTGCCACCATAGCTCTTCATTATCCTACTAGGTGACAACATCAGTGCTATTGAGTATAGGTTTTGCTCCTGTTTATATGGCTTACCTTGCCCATGTTGGTATGCATGTTGTTTTCTCTTGGTAGTTCCTTAATTGGGGCATCGTTTTCTGCTTGATTGTTTGTTTAGCTTGTAATTGTCTCCAATTGGTATTTGTCTGT